GTGTGACATATCGACTAATTCTAAAAGCAATTCTGCCGAGTATGTTGAGAGTTCTACATCCACCCATTTCACTATGTGTAGAGTAATATTTTGAAACTTGTATACAGGGCCGTCACCATGGGGGGGGGGATGGGGAGGAGCCTCCCCCCCTGCCTTTTCGACTTGGGAAAAAGTTGGAAAAAGTTGAGAAGTTTTAGGCCGTGAAGATAGAAAAAAATAATAGTAAAAAAATGAATGGAAATTAAAAAAACTAGAAATAAGGGAAAACGAAGGGAGAGGTATTGAGAAAACGGAAAGAACCGGGAGAAGGTTGGGATTTCCCAACACGCATAACTTGGAGATCCCATACTTTGAAATTCTGAGTTGTTTGAAAACTTCAAAAAAGTTTTATTTATCCCAAGGGAGAGAACAGTCCTGAACAGTCCACAAATTTTGAAGTGACAATTTTACAAAATTCCCAACTTTTCGCTGTTTCTTCTACCTAGAAGGACAAGATAGAAAAAATAATAGTAGAAAACAATAAGCACAATATTATTTAAGTGTTGTTTCCTTTCATTTGTATTGAATATTCCTATACATGATGGGTATGGTGGAAGACCAACGACCTTGGTCCAAAGAAGAATAATTCCCATTATTATTTTAATAATTACCAAAATTAATTTTTGTTTGTGCATAACCTAACGGGCATAATCATTCAGCCAATCTTTGTATAGATAAGTATNCAATATTCAATTTTAAATTGTGAAACTCAGATTACTTGTGAGTATTGTCCATGATTTTAGTTCCTTTCTATTGTATTTCATTTTAGCATCCTGACGAAGTGTCTGTTCAGAGACGACAGCTTGGCGATTTGTGAAATAGAGTAAGTTTGTTTTTGTCTGAAAATCCCATTATTTCCTACCTTCCATTAACTACCTTCAGTCGTTTATCTGAACAATACTTCAAAGACGGTCTGATCTGAGCTGTATAAAGCATCAAGAGTTATTGCGGTGTGTACAGTTTTCTGGTTCGAAACAGTGTTTCAAGCTTCTGAGGAATAGTGGATTTTTTCATAGCACTCTCGTTGTTTAAAATTTTTTCACAAATTTTTTCATGTTGTGAAATATACAACAATTAGTATTTCAATAACAAGAAAGCCAATAGGCTGAAACAGCTGTCTACCGGTGGCTCTTAAATTGAAATCAATATGGGAATGATCAAAGAGTACTTATCTGTTTATTTTTTGATTTTCATGGAATTATTTTCCAGCAGCTTAACTGCATTAACCTTTCTAGTTAATGCATTTCTATATTTATAAGTATATAAATGTAGGAATGAAGAATGAAATATCCATATGAGAGGCAGTCTCATGTGACTGAACCAATTGACGATTTAATTTTCCTTGTTCACTTTTCTTTAAAAGGTTGAACGGAATGGGGTCGTCCAGTACTTTTGCGGTGTTTTTATATATTTCAATAGAGCTTCTTATTCAGAATACAATGATAAAAATCACAAATTGATATCATTTACCGCTTTCAAAATACGCCGTTGATCGAGAACTTGTGTGACATCACAAGATATGTACGATTGTCGGTACACTGTCTGAACTACCTTCACAAAGCGAGGCATTCAATGTTTGAGGTTTGAGTGAAAATGCGTTCAGTCCAGGAAAGTTTTTTTGAGTGATTTACTACAGATGGGTTTATACATGTTTATGGAATATTTTAATGAGAATGAAGACTGAGTTCTTTATCAAATTCAAGCAATTCAAATTCAAGCGTTTCAAATTGTAATTTTTTGCATCAGTGAGAAATGAAAGTCAAGCATTATATCTGATTGATATGTTCAGGTGAAGTCAACTTTACTCATTAATACATCCATTTTATTATTACTGTGGAATGTGTTGTACTTACATTAAAATGATATCCGCAACACAAAAAACTTATTTTCTTTGCATATCTATTTACAAGGTTTTGTTAACTTTTTCGTATCGTTTCGTAGCCCGTAATCCACCATAAAGGTGAACATGATATGTATTTTCCAATTTTCAGGATATAAATTCTATTATTTTTCAAATTACGGTAATCCCTAAGGCGCTCTACGAGCAGTGCCTGTGCGAAAGTAACGATTCACGTTGGATTTGAATCGCTGGAGAATAAATTCATTCTGAAAAACGTTATCAGCAAGCTCATTCCACATAAACGCAGATCTCCTTATGGAAGAGTTCTTGAACAGTGAAGTTCGAGGTGTACTAAAATGAACCCCAAAACGCTGAGCAGCCACAGTCCTTCGCGTATTTCTGATATGTATCGCTCTTGTTGGAATCAAATGTGCTAAATCACTTAAACATCTCCCAAGGGAGAAAGTATCTATAAAAGAGAGGCAAATCTCCAACCTTTTTTCAATGTTCCAGACCAACAACTGTGTGTACAGTTTTCTGGTTCGGAACAGTGTTCCAAGTTTCAGAGAAACAGCCTTTGCAATTCCAGTGACATGATTGTGCCAAAACTTATTGGTGTCCTTTTTAACCCCCAACAAACGTATGAAACTGTCCTGGCATTATTATATCCGGTTCGAAGACATATATCTCTTCGGAGGAAACCGATGCCTGGGTTTTCGTGGCATTGAGTTGAACCTGGTTATTTTCACTGCAATTCGAAATCACCTCTATGGAATGGAATAACGGGATAAGCTTGCGGTCATCAACAAAGCATATATTGGATTCCTATCTTTTTTAATAAGTCGTTGATATACGATAAAAAATTTCTCTGAAGAGGTAAAATACCTTGGTACCATCCTCGACAGGAAGCTAACATGGAACTCTCATCTACAGTCGTTGATATACGATAAAAAATTTCTCTGAAGAGGTAAAATACCTTGGTACTATCCTCGACAGGAAGCTAACATGGAACTCTCATCTACAGAGTAGAGCAAAAAGAGCATACGTGGCTTATGAGCAATGTCGGAGGACAGTGGGACGCGCATGAGGTCTTTCACCCCGTGTGGTCACCTGGATCTACACTGCAATAATAAGACATATGTTAATGAGCCATTGCATGGGGACCGGAAGTTCTACAAGCAACGGCCATCCAAAAATTATACCAAATACAGCGAATGGCTTGTTTAAACATCACAGGAGCCATGAGAACAACACCAACCGCGACAATGGAAATAATCACGGGGACGATTGCGCACGGTTGGTGTAAACCTCGATGTAGGAATGGGTCAATTGAAGCTGGGCCTGTGGAGGAAAGCGCTTACTGCGCAACCTCTGCTGCAGGCAACAAGCGATACAATTGAACCCAGGTTTGTGTTTAATAAACACTACAAAATACAAATAAAGCATAACATAGAGTCAAATGATACAAATGCAATACGGATTTACACAGACGGCTCAAATACCAAAGAAGGATCAGAGTGTGGAGTGTACTCCAGATCACTAAGCCTAAGAATTAAGTGGGGAATGGGAAGAAATACCAGCGTGGTCCAAACAGAACTGGCTGGTATCTCAATCGCCACAAAAGAATTAACCAAAGAAGGAATTTCAGGCAAAAACATAACAATCTGCACTGACAGCAGACAAGCCCTATTAGCCTTGAATAGACAACGTACAACCTCAGGGCTAGTACTAGAGTGTCATCAAGATTTAGCCAAAGCCTCGGTAGATAACAACATTATCCTGAGGTGGGTTAAAGGGCACGACAGGAGTAAAGGTAATCGCATTGCCGACTTTTTAGCCAAGGAAGCGGCTGGAATGAGAATTTTAGGACCTACGGCCTGATGACTTCGACAATTGCGGAACTAGTCAAGTGTTACTTACACCCATGATCAATCCTTAAAGAGATGGGACGAAACAAAAGGATGGGAAAAAAGCCCTGGGAAGCTGGCGCCGAAGAAATATTTGGCAATGACAAGGAAAAATCTACGCCTAACAGTAGGATTTCTTACTGGTCACTGTTAACTAAGAAAACACCTCCATAATATGGGGCTGGTGGACACACCTCTATGCAGGATGTGTGAACAGAAAGATGAGACTGTCAGGCATGTCCTGTGCGAGTGCCCGGAGTTATCGTCAATAAGAGAGTGTGTGTTTGGCGAGTCTTGGCCTACACCTGCCGATATAAAGGAGATGTCTCTCAATGGCCTGTCTACCTTCCTGAAAAGGACAGGATGGACGATGACCAAGGAGGACAACTCCTCGGGAGGATGAACAATGGGTCACATGTGGCCTAAGTGCTGTGGGCTTACACTCACCCTCCCTACTCTACAGATACAGAGATAGATATACGATAAAAAGAGGGTTGGAGAAAATATGGATCCCTGAGGAACACCAGCGTTGGTGGTAAAAGTATTCGAGAGATATCAATCAGTGGCCACTTGCAGGACAAGTTCTTTCAGGAAGCTGTAGAGCCATACACGAAAATGATACGACAAGCCATTGCATCGAAGTTTGGCTAGCAAACCTATATCTTCTCTGTATAAGACTACATATCATTTAGTCCTGCCTGAGAATTGGAGATCGTCTCATATCGGCCATTCATGGCTGGCACTATGTTCAAATTCAGGGTCTTTTTGTTCGTTATTTTCAGTTAATGATAAAAGATGGTATTGATTGTCAAATATCGATAGTCACTCTGTTGGTGTTGGTGATGAATTTAAGGGGTTACAAGAGCAAATGAATATTTCAACAAAAAACTTATCCGAATGAAATGAGAGCGGAAAGCTTCAAAACTTCGAGAAATTGTTGGGCGTAAAAACAGTAAAATCCGTGGTTGTACCGCTGAATGAAAAAATATTGAAACTGACTTCAGCCAAAGGGTCGTCTATAGGTTTTCAATCAATTTCAATTAATAAGAGCATTACAAAAATATAATGAGATTTCGACGAACCTTTTTCGAAGTTTATTGATATCATTTCGAGTTTTCTCATTCCTAAATTAATCTCATAATGAATAGGTGTATTCGGAAAATATTACATTAGAACAGTGTTCGGAAGAATGAAAACAAATAACTACTACGAACTCAATGATAATAATATATTCAGTGATTCAAAAATTATTTATTAAGATGTATTTATACTTGCAAGACTTGCAGAGTAGTGGATAGTAATTTTAAGGTAGTCTTTTCGGAGTAATCGTTTCTTAACATTTCCAATTGTTGTTCGTGGAAAATGATCCAGGAAAACTATTTTTGTTGGTTTGTATTCCTCAGTGGTTTTTTCCGATATGAATCTGAAATATCGATAATTCAGAAAAACAGAACCTCCAAAGAGTAGACTTCAATATTCTATTCAAATTTGAGTATGTACATGGGAATTTCGTAAATAGTAGAAGAAAGAAAGAAGGTTATTATGGCAAGAATACCTATTTTTGAGTAGTTTTAGATGATACAGAAAAACGAACTTCAGCATTTATGGTTCCGGAGATATTTGAAAAATTTTATTGCTGAGATATTGAAAATCAGTTAAAACTTTCCCTTAGGAACTTTCATTGGGCTATCAGAATAAGATTATTCATAAATTTTTTCTTGCAGATTGTCGTCCGATTTCGGACATATTTAACTTTGAAATTTTGACTGTGATTCTGTATTTTTCAGCAGTTTTTTCATTGGTAGTGTTCATTATAATACCACATAAATAAAAAATTTTCGATACTCCAGAGACTTCCGATACATTCATGTTCTTCAAGTAAATAATCATTCATAACATAAGTACCACAGTTGATTCTAGAAAAACTTCACCGAGTACCTCAAATACGTTGATATGATTGATATGATGAAACTCTATACAGTGTCATCCCCAAAGTATGCACCATATGGGAAACTTCTTCATTAAGGGTTTTTCGACAAAAAGTTATTCGTGATAAAAGTTTGAGCATCCCCTAAAACTGAACATGCATCAACAAAATACAGTAAAACACACGTAATATACGAGGAGCCTTCAAATATTTGATTTTGAGTCAGGAGTAAAGTACTCGTATTTTGAAAATTTCCGGGAAATGTTGTATAGAAAAGTTGTTCCGCATTGAAAAATACATCTAGATTTTAAGTCATGGCCATCTAAGTGGAGTTTTATTTTTTTATCCATTTTTTTTAAATGGGGACTACGCAAAACAAATTGCAAATAGATAAATACGACGTTTCATTTCGAAAGCCTGCAATATTACAAATCACACAACTATGGTGTCAACCACGGTCAATTTTTTTGAAGAGTAAAGTTTTTGGTGGAAAGTTATTTTTATTTTTTGTTAACACCGAAAATTAGTCAAAATTATACAGTATTGTAAGAAGAACTTGATATTCAATAATATCATATCACAAAACATCGAAAAACCCTTAATAAATAAGTTTCCCATATGGTGCATACTTTGAAGATGACACTGTATTTCAAGTGATATTTTCTCACCTTGTACAACTTCCAGAATTTCAAGAGTCAATCAGTGAAAACAAATCCTAAAAAAATCAACTGTTTTTGAATCCGAAGCTTCAAGTTCTTGAGGGAAGTTTCATAATTCAGAAACGAATAATGAAAATTGCGAAAAATTTGCAGTTCCAGAAATATTGAAGAAATAAACTTCAGATATCTGCTTTTGCTGGTATCTTTCATCTCGAACAAATTTTACGAAAAACATTCAAAATTTCATTTGAGACAAAGTATGATTTGCTGATTATGTTTATTAGGAGTAATTGTTTCTGAAGGATTTTGAGAAACATGTACTACATGAGCTGAAAATTCTCGCAACCAACACATAGTTTTATTTCATTCACCGCTTTTTCAGTTAATGCTAACCTTCAAAAGAAAGCGCTGTTGTAATTTCATAATATTCAACTCATAACACTGTGAGTTATTATTCTAAGAGTGACACTACTTTTGTTATTTCCAAAAAATGGATCAAAAACAATGTCTTGTTTTAATTTAACACTGCTTCTTGATGGGAAAAAATACCGGTCAAGCAAAGTAATGGCTTGGAAAGTGTTATAAGGATTCCGGTCCATCAGAAAAAACAATTAAAAGTTGGTTTACTGACTTCAAAGATGGTACAGAACGCAGTGGACGTCCAAATGAGTCAGCAAATAACACCAGAAAACATAAAAAACACAAAATCGTTTGTCAATCAAAACAATGGCAAAACTACATAATTGAATAGAACTGGCCGATATTGTATATAGGCCAGGCGTACTATATTTTTTTTTTGAGGAAAAAATTCCTTACAGGGCAAACTCAACGGAAATGGTTTGGAAAGGTAGTCAGTTATATTGGGACAAAAATTCAACAGCTGAATGTTTGCAGGGGCGGAGGAGGGGGGGGGTTAAAAGGGGTGAAAAACTGTTTTTCGTGGTTAACAGAGAAAGTTGTAGATAATGAAAAAACCTATAACTTTTGTGTTCATACTTTTTTCACATAACGCCAAAATTTTCAACGCGAAAAACCACTTTTTTCGTTTTTTATTTTTTATTTCACAAAAAAAAGCGTATCACTATGAAATTTTGAGCAATTGTACTATTTTTTATCACAAATAAGTAGCAATTTTTTTTGCGATAAGTTAATTAGTTTCTGAGAAATTCGCGTTTTTCGAAAAAAAAGCATTTTTTTCGAGTTAGTCAAAAAGGTTTTTTTTTTTGGCCTAGACAACTTTTACACCGCTCATTTTTTTCGTAATTACATCAGCTTTCAGATGAAAAAATTAAAATATACTACTTTAAGCAAAAAAAAATCGTTTAAAATGCAAAAAACTGAAAAATTGTGCTTTTTTTCGTGATTTGTTTCATATTATGTAATTAAACGGTTTTTGAACTAAAATACAGTTGAAAAATTTTTATTATAGAATATTTAGGATGCTTTGAATTAATTATCAAGGTTTTATAGTGGCAAATTGAACAAATAAAGCTTCAAATAAAATGTTTATTTAACAAAGATGCAGGTAACCATACATTATACATAAGATAATGAGATTAAAAATTGTCTTAATTTAATTAATTCTCGCTCTATTACTCTCGCTCTTTTATTGTTGTTCTTCTTCTTCTTCTTCTCCTTCGTCTTGTACATTTTTATCGGATTCTTCTTGAAGATCAAGTTGCTTAGCAAAAACATCATCCGTGTCGTCAATTTGGGTACTTCGCATCTCGATATTAGAACACTCATTCGAATCGCAACAGTTTCTGCACAGCTACGAGCATTTTAAACCATGCTTCCTGCAACTGCAGCGCAAAGTATTACAGCCTTTTTCACAGCTGCAATGAATTTTTTCAAGCAAACTGTCAGGAATCAACTGTTCATCGGTGTAGTTTGGCATGAGGATGCTGTCGCTAGACATCTTCCAACCCCAATCCGTTGCATTAATTGAATTTCCGACCCATGAGTGAAGCTGGTGATACACACGTAAAATGTGCTGCTTTGCAGCTCCTTCCGTCGGTGGTAATTTTTCCAATTTGAATGTAGATTTGATCGATGCTGTTTGGTACAGATCAAATCTTAATTCGTTCAACGACATACTGTTTTTTGCTGTACATTGCTGCATTCAATTTGCAGCCATTTTTTATCAACAAATCTTTATCAGCATTTACATTATAAAAAATATCAGCCAAATCCATAAAATTTGTTATTGCTGACAAAGACTTTATCGCAGTTCTTTCACCTTTTCCAGTGAAACCGGAAATATATATATATGAAATCTAGAAAGGTTAATGCAGTCAAGCTGCTGGAAATGTTGATTGGTCAAACCACAAACACTGACATAAAAAACTTGGCAAGTTGACTTGGGTGTCACACCAATAGGTGGTTCCACTTATGTTTCGCTTGCGTTTACGCAGCTATTTTTATCAAGTACTTTCTTGGTTTATGATTATGAATTTTATGTAATATATCATAGTAAACTTTTACTTAAATAAGTTCTTTTTTCACAAAACAAATTAATAGATTAACACTTGTTATTTTACGATGAAACACTATAAAACGCTCTCACTGAAAAGACGCTCACTTACTGATTTTAACGGTGTTCCGTTCGAAGCACAGCTGTTGCTCCAAAATTTGTAATTCAAACAATAAATACTCCCTCTATGATGCTTTGATCTCTGAACATGAACTACAAAATTCAAATTAACATTTGTAGGTAAAGAAGAGCGAATTAGGGAGTGTACATACATTAACAAGCACAATTTTTCAGTTTTTTGCATTTTAAACGATTTTTTTTGCTTGAAGTAGTATATTTTTATTTTTCCATCTGAAAGCTGATGTGATTACGACAAAAATGAGCGGTATGTTGTTGGCCAAAAAAAAAACCTATTTGACTAACTCGAAAACAGTGTTTTTTTTTTTCGAAAAACGCGAATTTCTCAGAAACTAATTAACTTATCGCAAAAAAAATTGCTTCTTATTTGTAATCAAAAATAGTACAATTGCTTAAATTTTCATAGTGATATGCCTTTTTTTCGTCAAATGAAAAATAAAAAACGAAAAAGGTGGTTTTTTGCGTTTTACTCGAAAATTTTGACGTTATGTGAAAAAAGTATGAATACAAAAGTTATAGATTTTTTCATTATCTACTACTTTCTCATTCAACTTTTTTCTCTAAGCAATTATTTTGTCCGCAAACCGCGAAAAACCGTTTTTCACCTATTTTCACATCCACCCCTCCGCCCCTGCAAACATTCAGCTGTTGAATTTTTGTCCCAACATTACTGACTACCTTCCCAACTCATTTCCGTTGAGTTTACCCTGTAAGGAATTTTTCTGAAAAATCAGCATTTTTCAACATAGTACGCCTGGCCTAATAGCGCTATTGTATAGCGAAACACGTGTCGCTGTTTTTGTAAAACCCTTATAGTGAAAATTATAGAATAAACTCTATTTATTAGTTTTTTTTGAAACTACATAAATTGAACTCTGACTTGCTTCCACATCCATCGGATTTTGCTCCCAGTAACTACTGACTATTCGCAGGTCTCAAAAAATGTCACCGTAAAAAATTTACCTCGAATGAAAAGGTTATTGCTGAAACTGAGGCCTTTTTTGAGGCAAAAGATAAATCGTTTTACAAAAGTGATATTGAAATGTTAGAGTGGCGCTGGAATTATTGTGTGGCTCTTGATGGAGATTACATCGATGAAAAAAAAATGTAAAAGATATATTGTTAGGTCTGTGGGTACACTATAGATGTTAAATGAAAACTTCATATTTTCAACAATAGAAATCAAAATGAAACACTGTGCAGGTGGCTCTCTGTGATATAAAGTCATGAAGAAACTAGGAACAACGTTGACTACTTCCAAGCAAATACGATGGAAATGGTATTCCAATATAAAGTATTAGTATTTGAAATTTCAAGAAAAAAAATAGTTNTAATAACAGGATGTTGTTGAAATTTCAAGAAAAAAAATAGTTGGAATTATTGTTTTACCACATTCGTTACTTGAAATTATTGTACATCATTTTCAAGTAACACTTTATGTGAAATTTCTACTATACAGTGTACAAAACCGTAACATGTGTTTCATTATACAATAGGTTCCTCAGAATTGTTCAGTATGAACATGGCATATATTTTTACTAGACAGTTCACAAAACCCAACACGTGTCTCACTATACAATAGCTTTATCAGAAACACCCCGTGTTCAGTATAAACATGCCTGAGGGAGCTATTGCATAGTGAAACACTTGTTGCGGTTTTGTAAGCTGTTTAGTGAAAATATCTCAATGAGGTTTTACTTGAATACGTTGTGGATTTTCATCAAATATCGATCAATTCCATCACGTATGATAATATTGTTTCTAACTCTTTCAGTTCTCATAACTGAGAAACCCTGCCTTTGAAAATCAAACATTGTCAATACAGAAAAATTAACTTCCATGAATCTGCCCTGAACTAATTTCCTGCATATGCCTAATGTAAACACCCAAATATTTAAATTCAAACGAGGAACAAAAAAGTGTTGGATAATGCAATGAAGGAGCCTCAAATGAGCCTAGAATTATTGCAAATTAAAATTTATGGAGAAAAGGGTTTTTATTCTGTTCAACCAGCTCAACAGTGAACCCATACCTATGAAAAAACAGATTTAAAATCAAAGAAAAATGAAGTCTAAAACGAGTCTCAAATGCTAACTAAATTTCAATTTCTACCTTCTTGGAGAATATTATCAATTATGCGCTTGAAGTAATCGGCAAACCATTCAATCCGAACGCGGAGTAGATTATAGAAATCAAAAAGTTGATAAAAAGTCTGAATTGAGGATAAGCCTATCTCAAATTCAAAAATTTTAAAAAGTGAATGATTTCGATTTAGTGCCGCCAGCTAACAGTAAAATTATGAAAACTCACTGCTATCCTAAAAAAAACATAACATGAAACATTAATGACAGAGGAAAGTGGGATCATAAAATCGGTTCAAATTCAAATTATTTCTTCGTGATTGGTTTAAACAATCCTACCGTTATATAAAGAGCGGAAAATTCAGCTCAAAGTTAGCCCAAAATTATAGTTTCAAATTAAATATGAGAATCCATAGTGATTATGCTAACTTTACAGGAGTCAAATATAGTGTTGTTCAATGTTGACATACTTCTGTAGTTTTTCAGAAGACAGTTCCTTATTTTCTTTCCGCTTGACGACTGCAACCAGCTCTTTGTAATTTCCTATAACAACTACGTCTTTTACGTAGGGGTGCGTTAAGATAACATCTTCCAATTCCAAGGGCGAGAAACTGGTAGTAGCTCTCTCTATCATGTCTTCAATTCTTCCAGTTACGTAAAGCCATCCATCCTCATCATACATTCCCCTATCGCCTGTTTTGAAAAATCCCCTATCTAAAGAAGCCAATGTTTTTTCTGTTTCTTTGAAATACCTGAAACAGTTTTGAATGTATTACGCGTATAGAATGGAACAATTAAAAGTGAGAACGGCTTTCATACTGGTAGTACGCGGAAACGCCTCCAAAATTCTAGTGAATAAGCAGAAGAATAATAAAGCAGTAGTATTAGCTTTGGAGGTCAGGTATGCTAGTGAGCACCTACAACAAGTTTACCAAGCTCAACCGTGTTAGGAATCACACGTTAAAAGGTAAGACCTCGTTAGTCCTTAGCTCGCACAAGTTTCTTAACTTCTGAGAGTTGTCGTTCGTATGGGGGCGGCAGCTGATTAACGTAAAAACAGATTTTTTTTTAAACTGCAGGTTAAGAACTCAAGGTTCATCCAAAAGTCTGCAAGAGTTTGGGACTGAATTCGAAAGATTGGTAAGACTCGCCTATCCAGAAGCACTCGATAACTTCACCCACTGGATTAGCGCCCATGGTTTCATCGATGGGATTCATCACACGGAGCTGCAGCAGTTGCTGAGTGTAACCCGTCATTAAAATTAAATGAAGCCATCATTCATACCCTAGAACTGGAAGCTGCCAAAAATGCTTCGCGTCAACAACGGACTATCAACGAGAAGGAAGATGAATGAACAGATCGATTCATGGCAGGTCTGAAGCAACTCCTTGAGAAATATTTGATGAGAAATGAAACCGCTCTCAGGCAAAGAGTGTGGCCCATATGCTATAACTGTTACAGAGAGGGGCATTGAGGACGGGACTGTCGATCACGTTCAGAATCCGAGAAGAGTGCACCACTGCATTTTCACTATCGATACTGGAGCAACGAGGTCAATAATGAGAACCGCCATCTTCATCAATAGCAGTTTGAAGAAATTGTCAATAGATACCCGTTCTGGAAATAGCCATTCATATTAGGCTGACGGTCTATGGAGAAGCTGAAGTGAGACGTTGGCTAGGAAACTGCCAAATGAAAATTAAGGTATTAGTTAATGAACATTACTGGAGTGTTTTCAAATTTAATCTTCCCCTTGAAGATGATCACTTGGTGATCGAATCACGTATCAAGGTGTTGAAATAATGGTTTGGTGTTGAGAAAAAACTCCAGTAATTATTACACCAAAGGTTCCAAACAGTGCATCACAAGTGAGGTATTGGTGGCCAACTTCGACGACAAATTCATTTTGGGACTAGACATCATGTCCCTCTATGGACTCGTGGTGGACATAAGAAACAAACGGTTGAAAAAAGGAAATAAGGAAATTCTGACCGACGTGCCCTCTCAGCCTTATAGTAGCGCCTGGGTGTTTATATTGAAAGATTCGAAAATCCCTTCAAATACCAAGAAATCAATTCAAGCTGAAATTGCTGATTCTGGCGTCTGGCCCACAGCATTGATATAACCATCCAACGGCTCTGAAGCAGGAATTTTCTTCGCCAGGTCTCTCGTAAATAGTTATAATCAAATCATTCCAGTAAGAATAATCAACCCTAATAATAACACGGTAACTCTCAAAAAAAAGGCAACTAATAAGTACCTGCGAACCGATTGTGAAAAATGCCAGTGTGCTCAACAACCCGCTAAGAAACTCATCGACTCATTCAGGAAAACGTGAAGCCATCTTTCTGAAGTAGAACTATGCACCCGATTCGTAGCAGAAGAGAATGATATGATTATGAATGGCAAAATCATTGGTCGTACGGATTTACTTTAACATCGGACGCCAACCATCGAGGCGCGAAGCAGGACGAAGCTTCATCTATTGTTGAAGACATGTTGGAGAAAGAATTTATCAGCCTCTGGTTGTCACATGTTGTGTCAGTGACTAAGGAAGCTAGGTCGACGTAGAATAGGAGCAATACTCTCTCAGGTACAAGCATTAGCTATTTCGGTGAGTCCCTGGGAACATCCTAAAAAAATACTGCGTCACGAGAAAAGAGTTCCTTGCAGTGGGGGACCTTTACCACTCCTCTTTATATGGCCGTAAACCTTTGATCAGGTCTGACCATTCAGCACTTTGGTGGCTCCTCAACTTCAAAACCCCAGCAGGACAAAAAGCCAGGTGTAACAAAGTCACGATTTCGAAATTCTACATCATTATGGAGAGAATCACGGAATAGTAGATATTCTTTCAAGAAGACGAAGCCTGACATCCGGATGCAAGTTTTGTCAACGCCAAGAGGACAAGGATACTCAGTTACCAGGAGAAGAACATTCCACCAAACTTGACAAGATAGCGGGCAGAGACTCCTTTATGGACAGCTCTAATAGGGAGATAAGCTCCCCTAATTCCAGCCGCTTTGGGTTCCCTCTGACTCAGAGGGTAGTAACCTGCAAGGGTCCCTTGTCCAGGGATACGGACAGAAGATGAAGGAAATCACCTGATCATGGTGTAGTACTGTCATTAACAGCTTTCAAAGTTGATACTACCTTCACGACGAAAAAAGAGATCATTTTAGCGCAGAAGGAGAATCCTGTTTTGAAAACTGTACGAGAATGTATTGACAAAGGAGTGAGACCGGAATGGCACGAGATTTTCAAGCACGGTCAGGAGAAAAATTGTTGTTGACTCCAATGGGCCCTCATGTGTATTCGAGATGATCCACTCACTAGGAAATGGAAAAGCCAGGATGGAAAACCCCACTTTCAGGAAATCCTTCCAAAGACGTGTATCCTGAGTATACTCAAACCACTCCACGATGGTAGCACTGGAGGCGATTTCGGAGTGAATAGAATGGAAATAAAAAATAGAAAAGAAGACAAGGCAAACAGAAAGTTTGAGTTGACATTTTGGGATTACTTCCTATGACCACATTCGCTAACAAATACCTCATGGATATGATGGATTATTTCTCCAAATGGCCTGAAGTAGTAGCCTGTTGTTTTGTTGCAGTTACAGTGGGATCAGGGCCTTTCATGAATCGGATTCATGGAAGGAAATTATTACTTTATTGGGAATGAAAAAGACAAGAACAATGGCTCTCTACTCACAGTCCGATGAAATAGTCGAGACGCATAATCGCATCATAAATAACTACCTCTCGATATTTGTCTCCAGAAACCAAAGAGTCTGGGATGAATTAGTTCCTCTCTTTCTGATGGCATACCGGAGGTCCCAACATGTCGCTGCCGATGAGCTTCACGGAGGTCGATGCAATGTGGCTCTACCAACCCCAACGTGGCGAAGGTTTTTGTCGCAAATTGCAGACAAGGACCATAAGGTCCATAACAAGGACCTTACTTGATAACCAAAAAGATGAACGATCTGGTGTATATAATCCAATTGTCACCCAAATTCAAGTCTCAAGTTGTCCACATAGAGCAACTGAATCCTTATATGGGTCGTGATGTTACTTCTAGGGGCGTAACACAATATGTTTAAGGTATGTTAGGGGCGAACGACCTTGGTAAAGGGAATAGTGTTTCAAACCATTTCCTGAAAAAATAACGCCGGTCGCCGCTGGTCGTCGTGAATGAGTGAGTTTTGTTGGTTGTAACATCAACAGTATAATATTATTTTGAAATTAATTCTTTGATAAAATATACTGAAAAATTTAGCTATCTCAATCACACCTAAATCCTTACCGAGACATGGGAGGTCAAGTGTTCTGTATTCATTAGTGAATAGAATGTCATCATAAAATACTGAATTACCCCAACATGAGTCCATCTCCGTGAAAATAAATCTCTCCAAACTTGCCAGGGCCAAGAACTTCTTTAGAACTCAAATCTACCACACGAATCTTGCAGTTGATAGATAAAGTTCCTACTGACATCGGCTTGTCCAGGGAAACATTGTAATTTTTGAATTTTGTAGCTGCGACACATCCTGTTTCTGTCAAGCAGTAGTTCTGAAGAAATTTCACATGAGGTAACAATGCCTTCAAGGTTTTTATGTCATATTTAGTCGTATTGACTGTGCCAACCATAACACATTTGAGGCAGGTCATATCGAAATCCTAGAAACGAGATATATGTTCCATGGGCTGAAAAGTCTCGGGCCTAACCCATAGATAGTGCTATTCTTATTGCATTCGCCGCTTTTTCAGTTAGTACTAATGTTCAGAAGGAAGCTGTTGGAATTGCATGATATTCTAGTCATAAGTTTGTGAGTTATTGTTCTAAGAGTGACACAACTTTTGTTATTTTCAAAAACAGTGTCGTGTTTTAATTTTACACTGCTTCTTGATGGGAAAATATACAGTTCAAGCGAAGTAATGGCTTGAAAAGTGTTAAATATGAGGACTCTGGTCTATCAGAATCAACAATTAAACGTTGGTTTTTAGTACTAAAACAAATTCAATTCAGACAACCTCAAATACAAACCAAGAAAACCAAGATTCAATCAAAAAATTCCGTAGCCTTTTATACGAAAAAGATTTAACTTCAAGATTAATTAATGTTCTAGAGAAAACAAATCTCAGAATTGCTCATAAGAATGTTGAAACAACAAATCAATTATTTTCAAAACTCAGAACACCTGGTAATTCTTATCAAAATTATAATATCGTTTATAAAATACCTTGCAAAGATTGTGATAAAGTGTATATTGGACAGACCTCAAGACTTCTAAAGGGTAGAATTACCTCTCATAAAAGTGACTGCAGCAGAAATGTTTTATCATGTGCTTTATTAGAACATATAAATTCATTAGACCACCAAATGAACTATACTAATGCTAGTATTTTAGAAATTGAACAAAATTCCTACAAACGTTGTTTTCTAGAAATGATACATATAAATAAAGAATTAAAATCCATGAATAAAAAAACTCACTTAAATAATCTCACTCAAATTTATACTTATTTATTTAAATTAGATAATGATAGTCCAAGAAGAAATAGTAATGCTGTTTCATCCAGTATGTAACTGACTGATTGTAAAACAAATTATTATTTTTATGTTATCAACAAATAATTGTCATTTATTGATTCATGTCAAAATTAACTTTCAAATTATTTTTCGTTCGATTTGCTGCTAATTTTTTATATTAATTTCATGTTGAGTAATTTATATCTGTAACGTTTTTTTTATACATATATTTTTACAATCATCTTTTCAGTTGTCCTGAAGAAGGAAATAAACATTTCCGTAAGCTTGACAAACTAGCAAAGAGTTTTCATCCTTGACCTTGACTGCAACTTCAAGATATATATAATTGATAGTGTAACGACCGTATATATATATAGAAGAGTAGTTTTTCGGGGATTCGGTCTGATTAGAATAAATATTACTCTTTTTAGCTGCCCGAGCTTTCGCTAATGTTTATTAGTAATATACAGTTCAAGCGAAGTAATGGCTTGAAAAGTGTCATAAGGAGTCTGGTCTATCAGAATCAACAATTAAACGTTGGTTTGCTTGACCTCAACCGTGGTCGTAGAGACACAGTGCAGAACGCACTGGACGTCCAAATGAGACAGTATCACCAGAAAACATATAAAAATCCACAAAATCGTTTTGAATGATCGAAAAGTGAAGTTGCGTGAGTTAGATGATATTGTAAAGATATCAAACGAACGTGTTGATTTCTTATTACATAAGCATTTGACTATGAGAAAGCTCTGTTAAAAGTGGGTTCCTTGGTTATAATTTTGAAAAACTCCGGAAGTGCATTATATAATCTCAGCCCCAAAATCTCAAACGCGTTCAGACATACAGATAAACGTGTTTTGGGTATGTGAAAATATGTTTTGATGCGGGTATTATATTCATGAAAAGATTGGTTTTGTTTGAAAAAATCTTTATTTTTATAGATGTACAACAACTTCCAGAGTGTAGAGAGCAGGTAGAGGCAAAATTTAATTTTTTTTAAATAATGTTCTACACGATGATGTTCGTGATGCGTTCGCAATGGTTCTTATAATTCTCTTTTGCGTTACAAAAACATTGTGTGCAGGTGGAGAATTTCCCCAAACAATAATCCCATAGTCAATTCTTGATTGAATCTGTCCATGGTAATATAAAAGTAGACCAGAGTAGTATATAATTCTTTTCAGGTTTCTTAACACAAAACACTGCTTATTGAGTATGTTATATACCATTATTGGAGCGTTTGAAAGCCGAAATTGCAAAAAAACAGCCGCATATGACAAAGAAAAAAAAATGTGTTCCATGAAGACAACGTACCGAGTCACAAGTCAATCAAAACAAACGCAAAACTACATAAATTGAACTTCGAATTGCTCCCACATCCACCGTATGCGCCAGATTTAGCTCCCAGTGACTACTGGTTGTTCGCAGATCTCATAAAAATGATCAGCGGTTGAAAATTTTGCTTAAATAATAATAATAATAATCGTCTTTATTCATCGACATAATATAAAAAATGAAATAAAAAAATTTAGAACAATCATTAAGGGTCAATGAAAAGGTGAAGTATCAGCCTAGGCTGCTTTTCAACTTAACCTAGCGAAAAAAAAAAGAAAAATATATAGGTGAATCATAGAAGACTATAAAAATATAAGTGAATCATAGAAAAATATAAAAGTAAAATTTGAGTATTAGCGTATATAAAATCAAAATACTTATTTCCAGAACAATTTATACTCGTGTGAGTATAAAATATAAAAGTACAAATCAAATAAAAATTGAATTTTTAAATAATAATTTAAATATAAAAAAAAGTAATAATTTAATTCTAAATATAAATATGTGCCTAAATTCTTGTAAAATATTTTCACCCTAGTAAACACTAATTAACATTCATTTATAACCCTAGCGTAAACAATAATCATATACAGGTCCGTCTTTAAAGCAACTCTATAGTGACTGAAGTAAGATTTTCAATTTCTTCTTGAAATTGTATAAAAAGAAGTTCCAAAACTCCTTGGGAAGAGTGTTATAGAATTTAGGTGCAGAATATGAAAAGAAACGTTGGTACAGTGCAGTTGAGTGTTTGGGAATAACTAGCATATTATTTTTCCTTGTGTTCACCCTATTGAGGTGTTTGAACATAGTAAGTTTATTGAGGAGATACGTAGGTTAACCAGACGTTATAACTTTGTGTGTCAATGGAAGTAAATGGAGTTTTCGACAGTTATCTAATTTGAGCCATCCTGTTTCTTTAAATTTCATACTAATATGTTCAAATTTACGTATTCCATGAGAAAAACGTAAACAGGAATTTTGAATTTTTTGTAGTCTAGCTGCATCAGCCTGTAGAAGTGCTGGACCATAAATACTGTCGCAATATGATAATTTAGATATCACCAGCGATTCGCACAACTCAAGTTTCATTTTAGTAGATAGCAAATCACGACTAGGATACAGCTGTCTCAGAATATTGAACGAGCTCTGACAGAGATAGCTGACGTGCTTGGTAAATCTTAGGTCAACATCAAACCAAATACCTAGGTTTTTGATTTCACTCACAAAGGTTAACGGCATACCTGCTAACCTGATTTGAAAATTTTGTGTTAGCTGTTCACGTTTTGATTTCGTTCCGAGAAGCATAGCTACTGATTTCGAAGGGTTAAGTGTGAGATTATGTGAGGTTGAGATATTGTATAAAGATGTTAAGTCTTCTTCAATTTGAGAAGTTGCTGAAAGGATTGAATTGCTCGTAAAGTCTAGGTATAATTGAGTATCCTCGGTATAGTGGTGGATAGTACAAAACTTCAGACACTCATGAAAATCCGAGATATAGATGGAAAAAAGAATAGGTCCCAAGATTGAACCTTGAGGCACTCCGTAATTCACTATTTGGGCATCTGACTTTAACGAACCTACTACTACCGACTGACATCGTTCCGATAAATAGTTACGAATAAGCCCACAAGCTTTCTGAGAAAAACCGTAGTATAGAAGTTTATCACACAAAACATTACGATCAATAGTATGAAGAGATTATTGCTAAAACTGATGCCTATTTTGAGGTGAAAGATAAATCGTTCTACAAAAGTGCTATTGAAATGTTGGAGCGGCGCTGGAATGATTTTCTTTCATAGGCCCGGGACTTTTAAGACCATGTGTTATGTAGTATAACTTAAACCTTAATTTGAATTCCGAATAGAAGAAGGGTTTTTTTTTCTTCAATATGTATTATCCCTACTATGTTTCTTGGGATCAATAAATGTATTATTATCATTATTATATTTGATGACATGTAATAGCTCATTTCGGTACTTCTGATACGTCAAACACTTTTACATTAACCAGGAGCTTAGATAAAATTTTGTAAAATTGATTGTTGTTTTTATTCCGTATCCTTCTTCTGTATCCTTCTTCAATATAAAATATGTAAAATTTGGGCTTTCGGAAAAATGGCAATGCAGTTGGTCAAGAAAGGTAAGAAGATTATACAGATCATTTCTGAATTGATAGTCACATGGAAAATGTGATACAAATGATCTAAGACAACAATTCATTCAGGCCAGTCTCAACTCACCGACACTGTAGGTTAATGGACATACACGAAACAACTACTCCCCTGGGTAATACCACGAAGGGGTTTGATTATATCCAACAGATGTCATTACAGGACTTTTCACAGAAGTAAAACTTGTCGCCTACTTGTCCAGCACAGCAGAGCACGGCGCTGTCCGTCGCCTAATGGCGACGGGTAGTAGCATCGCCCACTTGTTCAGCTACAACCAGCATACTGAAGGTGCTGTTTGTTCGATTTCAAGGGAATTTCAGTTCACATCGAGCGGTGACAGAAACATGTCTATCACTAGCAGTTCTGACGAAGAAGTCGTCATTATAGTTGACACATTATTGAATGTAGATAATAGATAATAGTCACAAAAAGAATATTGTGGGTCCATCCCATCAATCAAAAGGGGGCAAATCTGGGAGAGTTTCATCATCTTTTCAACGACCTGAAATAAGACTAGGAGAAAATTTTCCAGTATTTCTCAATGACTCCAGGCGAATTTTCAGAACTTCTGGATATTCTAGAGTCTGCCTTAACAAGCAACACAATTTTTCCTCGTCCATTTTCATCGGTACCATCAGGCACTGTGCTGACAACTAATGGAATAGCAAAACAGAAAGACAGAAACTTCCCGGGCACGTTTGGACAAGTTGATGCTGGCAAGCACTGGCCGGCGACGCGCTCACTTGGCCAGTCCGTCACAGCACGTACCGTTATTTGCCAGACAGGATCGGAGAGGCTAATTGCACACACACCGATTTTGGACGACCGATTTTATACCGGTCGTCCAAATTCCAATAGTGAACCACATATGGGAACGGGACCTGACACACATGCCTACCGGTGATCGACGTAGATCACATGCCTACCGGTGATCGGCGTCGATCACCGGTAGGCATGTGTGTCAGGTCAAGTTTCAGAGTATCATTCCTCGAACTAGGCTGAACCGAAAGACATACAACATATTTGTTATTCCCCCATCTGCTCATCTGAGACTGGCCTGAACTAATTGTTCTTTTAGATAATTTTATTCACAGACAGTTTTCAAGTAAGTCTCCTTACTACGAGTATATGTGAAAATACGTCCCAAACGTTATATTGGTCAAACGTGAAGAACTTTTCTCAAAAAAAAAACGGAGAATAGAAGTGTTCAAAAATGAAATACGTCCAAGTATTTACGACTATACTCAATGAACTCCAACACGTACCATGATATGTATGCTCAAAAAAATCCTCGGTATTTTATAATGATCAGAACCGTAATTCTGATATCGCCTACTACTCATTCGTCATTTATTCTCATACAAAAGATGAAGATTTTTTTCAATGTAAACACCAGTTTCACATTTCTAGGTAGGACTTCAATCACGACTATAATGCCAAACAGTTGCAAACCATGAACTCTGTAAAATGCAATTATACGAAAAAGGAATTCACCAAACGAAGATGTGGAGTAGGATGCTTCTGGATAGAAGCAACTCAGAAGAAACGACATCAACTTGTGGATAGACGAAAGATTGGTGACGTTCTAGGTACGTAGGTACCTGAAAAATGAACGAATTCAGAAATATGAACTCCGCTATATCAGTCTGTATGAAGTAACTACTAATTCAAATTCATATTGCTTGACAGGTTGATGATTTCACTGGTCGAATAGTTACCAAAATCCTGAATATACGAAGGTGGTCCCAGAAGTACCCGGCCTGACCTAGAGATGGCAGTACTCGTTTGAAATATATCACTGTATCAGAAAGTACACAATCTATGAATCATATGTTTCAAGTTTGAAGACGCTGCGTTGTTTAGTATTTGTTTGATAGCCATCAGTAGCCAACGTCTTCGGGGAATTTGTGATAATAAAGGAAATTGACCATCGTTATGTATTAAAATACTTTCATTTGAAAGATACCAGCCCAACCAATATGAAAACTGAACTGGATTCTATTCTGGGTGAGTGTTCCTTTGTTTACAACAGTGAAGTATTGGGTAGCAGAGTTTAAACGAGGCCGTACAAGCTGCCAAGACGAACATCGCAGTGGTCGAACAAATGAGGTGACGACTTCAGTTGTAGATAGTAGCTACCAAGTATTTATCCACTATCTGCTTTGAAAAACAGGAAGCAATATGTCATCATTTTCTATCCTAACCATTCAGCAGAACATCATATTATTTCCAATGTCAATGTCAAACATGGGATACCGCAAGGGTCCATATTGGGACCTGTACTCTTTATATTATATCTAAATAAAATTGGGTGTATCTCTGCAGAAGCGATGTCCATTTATGCTGATGATTTGATGTCTGAAAAATCAGATGATTCCCTTGAATCCAAATGTATTGAATGATGCTAGCAGATGGTTCAGTGACAAATTTTTATTTCTGAATAGCACTAAAACAAGATTCATCAGATTTCTCAATTATCATAAAAAATGCTCTCAACTAAACATTTTTATTCAAGACAGCTGTATTAAGCAAGATGAGACAGTTAAATTCCTAGAAATGTATCTTGATGAAACCCTGAAATCACTGCACATGTGTTTCTAATAAGTTGAATACAGTGATGTACATGCTTAAGAACCTACGTACTCTCCTAGATGAGCAGCACCTTATTTCTGTTTACTCGTAGAGACACGTCTACGATATGTAATAATTTTCTGGGGCTGGTCCGTTTATGGTCATAAAGTCTTCTTGGTACAAAAAAACAAAAACCAGAACAATTGCGAAAGTAATTATTTAGTACCTATTCATGTGTGGATTTGTTCAAAAACTTCAGGTTAGCAACTTTACCAAGTTTGTTTATCTTTGAACTTTGCGTTTATGTTTATTCAAATAAATGCTCTTTTGAACTTGTTAAAAACAAACACCAAGTAAATACTCGTCAAAAGAATAATATATATACATGAACCATATAATAAATATAAATTAGAATGTAATTCTCCCAATATCGCCACAGCCCTACTAAGTATACCGAATTATATTACCAAAGTCCCTACCTTGAAAGTTTTTGAAAATAGACTGAAAGATATGCTTGTAAAGAAGTGTATTTATTCTGTGGATTACTTTTTGTCCGAAACTGACAGATGGAAATAACTTATATTCATCCATTTCTTAGTGTATGTTTATTAGGTAAATGATTTCTATGTATCCGACAAATCCCATACCATACAATGTATGTTCTCAAAAAACTCCAAGAAATTATTGGTACAAAAATTATACAATTCGAATCACTTCATCACTGTAAAATATTGAGTACTACCCATGCCCAGAATTATTTTTTAGATCACTTTCGTCACGAAACCTCCTATATCAAACTATCAGTATGAAATTTTATTGAATACTGTTACCTTTATAGCCACATTGGTCACCAATCTAATTGCCCAGTCAGTTCCAAATATAGCGTGTCCAATCCGAAAATCCTGAATTATTTTGCATGCACTCCGTTCCGTGAAAGGCCCAGGAAGTATTCTGATGGTGGGAGATTCAAAGCAAACACATACAAGAGTCGTTTGAAGCAGCCATGATAATGGAAAGAATGACAAAACTTTTTCTGGATATTCGAAAATATCTTGAAAAATCATGGTCTGCACAACAATGTTGTGATGGGACAAGCAGACGAGCTTAGGGTCATCGGTGGTACCTTGAGTAGGCAGAATGAACGCAACTGATTCCCATGCATCTTCTACAAACGTTGGTCGAAAGCGTTCGTCTTCTTTGTGATTCAATAACTTATTGAATTGAGAAACACCCGGGTTGTCTTGACCAAAATTGATGATATCCGTGCTGTAATTGAGCGTGTTCACTATCCTTTCTATCTGGCTAATTGTCCGAGAATCTGTGAAACACATCTTCGGTTTCAATTTCTTCACTATTTCCAAACATTCCTTGTGACTGATTTCTGGGTCAAGAGGGGCTACTATTGCCCCAAGGAATAGAGTAGACAGGACAGCGATTGTTTGGTCCGCATGGTTTCTGCTGTAGATCACTATGATATCATTTTCCGTCACACCTCTATCCTTCATTTCTAAGGCCAACTTTATGCTTCTTCCTCGCACTGATCCTTTTGTTTCCGTTATAGAGGATACGATGTCTACCTTAAAAACAAATTGATTGAATTCTTGAATGAAAAAATAAATACTGAGGCCTCGATAGTATTTGTGTAATGAACGTTATCAATGAGGTTAAAAAACATATTGAAAGGCATACAGGGTATCATCGGGAGTATTTCCAAAGGAAACGAGTTACTACGAGAAAACTTGAAGTCTCAGCCCATCTGAAACAAAAAAATTACAATCGAGATAGTTTTGCCATAAGAGGTAGTGGAGGAGAATATTCGCGTATTCCTCAGTACAGCAAGCCGCTGAAATCGAATATCAACACCGAAGAATGTGCAACTTTTGAATAATTGGAACCTGACAAGGTGATTATGATACTTTCTGCGGATAAAGACATTGCCATGTCAGTTCTGAACACTAAAGACTATCAAATGAAAATACTGAATCTTCTAGACCTAGCAACCTATAAAATGTTCAAGCAAGACCCTAAAGCCGAGATACTAATGAAAATACAAATACCCTTCACTTCCAACTGAAGACAAGCGTCAGCTTTGAAAGTCTGAAACCTTACCACCTAGTCTATACGACCTTCCTGAGATACACAAGCCAAACCGTGACCTTCATTTCATTTCAATGCCACTGGTTCCCGCTACAAAAGATGAATCTTTCATTAGTGACTCAACCCAATTCATCAAGAAAATAAAAACTTTGCATGTGCAACCTAATTATGTTCTTGTTAATTTCGATGTGGTTTCCTTCTTCATCATGCTGCGAAGGATATGTAATTTGTTACCTGTAATGAACTTATGAAATGAACTTCTTTCATCTTAATTTTTTTTCTAGAATCGCTTACATATACAATTGCCATCTCAGTAGTCGACGAGAGAAATATTAGATTAGGTTAGGTTAGGTCCAAAGTGAGTGGGTCTATTCGACCTTCCACCGCAACCCGCAAGGGTTTATTGTTGCTCGCACCTATTCTCACTCGACCAAATAAACCCAGCTTCTTAACGGAGCCGATTAGTTTGTATGATGAGTGGTCTTTCAGGTCGGATGGTAAGAGTACGGCTCTGCCGAACTCTAAAAACCTCATTCGGTCCTCAGCGGGGCAGGCACAAAGTATATGCTCTGCAGTTTCATCATTTTCCAGACAGAGGCGAAACACACTGTCTTCCGACAGTCCAAGTCTCTGCATGTGATGATTCAAATGACAGTGACCTGTAAGAAGGCCTGTTAGGCATCGAAGTTCAGCCCTACTGTAGTCCAACAACCGTTTGTTATCAAGCTTCGAATAAACGCCTTGAAGTGAGCCTGCCAAAAGTTCATAAATCTTCTTGCTATCCAGGTGTTGAATGTTTGTTTGGCAAAGCCTAAAGCGACGCCAATGACAGGTTCTGGTCTGATGAGCTGCTTGCAGCACCCTCCTTTGCAATGGAGTCATCAGAGAAATATTACCAACCGTTCTAATCAGCTCGCTGATGAATGGTCCAATCCTATATGACACAAGTGGTAATTTTTTTTTCACTCGTGTGAATCCCACATTTCCGCCGTTTCCAACAAAATACCGGAAAACGTATTTTATGTTTCAGCTGATATATTCCAAGCGGTGGATCATAACCATATTCGATCTTAATTAATACAAAAATTTCTACATGTTTTTACATAATTTTCTACGCTAGGAGGAGGAGAGCATAGAGGAGATACAATTCCTTTAAAAATCAGCCAAATATGAACCGTTTCGTCCCTTTGGATTGTCATAATTATATGAATGATGATAGCGATATGTTATGCTTCAACTTGTGACCTACGCAGCATCCATCATATCCAATCCAGATAATCCGGTACACCACAATGTAATAGCACAGAGATTCAAAAACATTTTTGCAAAAAAAATCAGAGCAGACCCTCCTTTTTACCAAAGATATAACCAGTATCTTTCGAGTCTCCAACTAAAACAACCAAGCATTTTCTCAACTCCTAATACACCCAATACTTCTCCTTGGATAATCCCCCGAGCTAACATTGAATATGGACTGCTACAATTTGAGAAAAAGAATACAAATCACAGGATGTTCAATGTAGCATTCAACCATCTTCTGGAGCAATACGAAGACTTCTTTCCAGTATACACTGATGCATCTAAAATGGAAGATGGAGTAGGGACAGCTTTCACCAGCTCTGATTTCAGCTGTTCATTTAAATTATCGAAAGAAAACACAATACTCACAGGTGAATTATACGCTATTTGGAGAGCACTAAAGTACATGGAGGAAAAGAACATCCCAAAATTTCTGATTGTCACAGATTCACTGAACGCTCTCGGAACAATTACACAACTATACACCAATCATCCCATCTTGCTTCGCATAAAACAGTCTCTCCACCTACTACATCAAAAACATATTTGCATCCGGTTTATGTGGGTCCCTTCACATATGGACATAGTTGGAAATGAAAGAGCTGACAAACTAGCGAAAGAAGCAGTTACTAACCCGCTAACAGATACAGTGTTACTTGCTGTTCACACGGATCTGAAATCTCTATACAAGCAAACGATCATCAATAGTTGGCAATCACAATGGAATAGTTCGTCAGCAAAACTTCATGAGATAAAACAGTCAGTATCTCCTTGGAAAAACAACCCCAATGAAAGAAAAGCCCAGGTCATTTTATCTCGTCTTCGTGTAGGCCACACTCGTCTCACCCATGGATACCTACTATCTGAAGAAAATCCCCCAGTATGTGAAGTGTGTGATAGTCCTCAAAGTGTTAAACATATTCTCACCGAGTGCGTGCTATATCACAATGAAAGACAAACTTATGGCTTCCCACCATCAATAAAGGACATATTAGGAGATGAATGTGATATTAATAATCTATTAGCTTTCCTCAGAAATACCAATTTGTTACATACTCTCTAATTTTTTTTTCCATGTAATATATCGACAAGTCGCTAATGACCCTAGAGGTCGATGCGACTGTAAATAAATAAATAAATTAAAAAAAAAAAAAAACTTTTGACTAAATTTTCATTACCTATATTGAGGTGTACTAATAAAATCATGATAAAAAAAAGAATTCGTTTTTCGAATTGACTTCAACTGATTATTGTTTGGTCATTTCTATTGATTCATTTATAATCATTCATTCACTTATATGGACAACAATGAATGGTTATCAATAAAAATGATATGTAATGGAAATGATTGCAAGTGTAAATAATAGTAAGTGAAATAAAATGGCCATATAGCACATACATATGAATACTTTGAAAATCGAGGTTGTGCTGGCTGAAAAATGTAAATACTCAGTATCAGAGGAATTGTTTTATTACTTCAGATAATACGTCATGATCTGGATCAATCGCTTTCAATGGGAACACTCAAGGGGGCTTTACAAGCAACGATAAGTTGTATCAATATATCGTAACGATCAGATTTTTACAATTTATCGTTGTGTGTGAACGGAAGATTGTAGCGATTTATTGGAATTGGAGTTGGAGTGGATGGTTGAAGCCGGCCGGCATCAATTTCTGGGAATCGTAACGATATGTTGGAACGTGTAACGCTAGTTGCACACACACCGATTTTGGACGGCCAGTATAAAATCGGCCGATATTTTATTGGTAGCGGGTGCTTGCACACTCACCGTATTCTTATCGGTCAAATAATAATCAGTTGCTTTGTTATCGTTATTAGCACGCACTACCAGAACGAAGTTAATGCGTAGTAACTACAATTTCACCGAGCATTCGACACTGGAATGGTCGGTAAAAAACCGGTGAGTATGCAAGAGTGTATTTAGTCATGTACGCCACTACTTCCCGGTACTGCCGGCGATACAGTGGCAGTGGACGGCTGCTCGCCGGTATTTTACCGGCGACGATCACCGGTAGGCATGTGTGCAAGGTCCCGTTCCCACACGTTGGTCACTATTGGAATTTGGACGACCGGTACAAAGTCGACCGTCCAAAATCGGTGTGTGTGCAACTAGCGTAACGCTAGCGTAACGCTAGTTGCACACGCACCGATTTTGGACGGCCAGTATAAAATCGGACGATATTTTATTGGTAGCGGGTGCTTGCACACACACCACACACACGAGTTCTGAGAAATTTGGGGCTGGTGCGGATGACATCTACAAACCTAGTTTGTGGTATTTCGACCGTCTTCATTTCTTGAACATCCAGGACTTTGCAAGACCAAGTAAGTGACATTTGACAAGAAATCGTTACGATTTATCGTATCGTGTAAAGCCCCTTTTTTATACTTGTATCGTGAGATTTTCTTCTTTATGATTCATGACTTGAAACTAGTGAATGAATCCTACTTCAAAATGAAATCATGTTGAGTAATTTTCTGAAGTGAATCACTCACCTGAAGGATTCTGTCGAGTTCATGACCGAGCTTATCGTAATACCTCCTACCCAAACCCCCATGTTCCTTGAAAATCGATACTCTACTTCCGTGTACTTCGGCACTGTTTCTGGTTGATTTACTTCTAAGCGACCTGGAACTATTTTCTGACCTACTCTTCAACACTGAAAATTTACTGCTATCTTCTGGATATCTCAAAACATCACTTTTCGAATTTCCGTTCAAATTACTCATTATAATATTTTGATGAATTTGGAGGATAATGTCAAGAAAATGTCATTTATGTTAGGTTAAGAAAAAATGTTTCTCTTAATGTCAAAGCTTCTGCAGCTGATTCAACTTTTTTCTATTCATAAAAAATATGATAAAATTGTAATGTTTGAGTTAACTGAAACATAATTGTGTGTTTGTGTTTGTGCATTTCTCCTTTTGTGATTTATTTCACTGATTCCATTTATAATCAAGGATTTCTGCTACTTTTCAACGAGACGTTTCATTGGATAGTGGTATAGGGTCTTCCAAAAGTAATACTATCACTTCTATAAATTTAGTGTGAAAATAGACGCCTCTATCCATTGTTTCTCAAATAACAAAGAATGGAGCAAATACCTAAAAATTATCAACATGACCAACATGACCAAATTAATATTGTTACCAAGTTTGCTTTTCCAGCAGAGACTTCAAAAGATCTACCTCAATTCAATAAACTTTCAATAATTAGTTCAATACTCACTCTATTATCTCGTAATTATGACGTAAGGTGTTGACATAAACAAAATACTGAACACTAATTTCATATTTCTCTTTTGTTGAAATTTCTTGATGCAGAGTTCGAATAAATAATTATTTTTCTAGAGTTGTTAATTCATATAAAAATAAAATTCCTTCACTTCAATGTAGCTACAAAACGATGTTAGTGTTGTTTTGAAAATATAATGTATGATACAATTTGAACTAATAATTGTGTTTATCTGAAAACAATTGGATATTCGAAGGTTAGGTTACCTAACGTTCAAAATTACCCGAGAAAAAGCTATTGGGGAATACCCATACTCGCAGTATCGCAAAAAGTCGTAGATCTCCAGATTAATATTTATGACATTATTGTTAGATTCATTTGATTACCCCATGGTTGTAAGGGGTGGAAAACGCAACCCCTAAAATTTATTTCCAATGTAACTTTTTGTCTTATTATTTGTTTATCATTTGAAAATGTATTTCCGATAACCTGTTTCATTCTAAACAAAAAATGTCTCTTGGCAAATTATTTTACGAACAACTACAGATATACATCGTTATAAATGCGAACTGGATTTATTGTTATTTTGTAGTTAGGACTTGCATTAAACGATTGAAGAGCAATAAACGAAACTAATTTATTAATAACAAAACACACAACATGTAGAAATCATAGTAAATGTTCAATATGTCTACCTTCAGACATTACGCATGCGTCTAGACGTCGGCGCATTGAGCCACGTATTCGCTCAAATATTCCTGGAGTCTCTCTGATTACCTTGCACGCATCGATGATGCGGTTTCTTAAGTCCTCTACATCGCGAACAGGAGTACGATAAACCAAATGCTGTAAATGGCCCCAAATAGAGAAATCGAGAGGATTAAGATCCGGGGATCGAGCGGGCCAGTTCTGTGGTCCTCCTCGACCTATCCACTGATTTGCATATGTTTCAGTTAAATGCTGACGTGCTACTTGACTGAAATGGGCGGGAGCCCCATCATGCATGAAAAACATATCCCTTCTGAGGCCCAAAGGAACTTCCTCCAGCAGTACTGGATGCACTTCTCTTAAAAATTGAACGTATGCCTCACCATTTAATCGAGGAGGTAGAAAATGAGGCCCAATTAAATCATCCCCAATAACTCCGAGCCACACGTTAAGAGAAAACTGTTCTTGATCGTTAGTTTCAACAATAGCGTGAGGGTTTTCATCAGCCCATATGTGGTAATTATGAAAATTAATAATCTTGTCCCGAGAAAAACTACATTCGTCTGTGAATTCTATCGTCTTCAGAAAGTCACAATTTCTTCTAATCATTTCCAGCATCCAATTGCAAAATTCAAGACGGTTCGGAAAGTCTCGCGGTAACAGTGCCCGTACTCGTTGCCGATGGTAAGGGTATAAGGGTTGTTCCTTTAAAATTCGAAATACCGTCATATGATCAACATTTAGCTGGAAATTAAGTACTGTTTCCTCAAGCTGTGGTATTCGTACTTCTCGATGGCAACCACAATCCTACGTTCTTTTGTCGAATGAACCATATTCTCGTAATCGTTGATGAAGTCGAGCAAATATTCTATGTGAAGGATGCCGCCGTTGAGGATACATTTCAGCATATCTTCTAGAAGCTTCTAACCCATTCCCCTGCGACAGACCGTAAACGTAATGCATATCAGCCATTTCCTCATTTGTGTATGCCATTTTAATAGCAAGTGAATTATTAAAGTAACAAATTCAGAAAAGAACAACAACACACAATTAGTATTAATTCAATTTCGAAAATCCACAAACTGACACCGTCATACCAATTTAGTTGTCACTATGGCTAATAGTGACCTACTAGATAGATTAGTTTCGAATTTTCGCATTCATGACGATGTATCTCTGTAGTTGTTCCTAAAATAATGTTTTGCTGCGAACTGGTTTATTTTGGGCAAAAAACCCAAGAGACATTTTTTGTTTAGAATAAAACAGGATATCGGAAATGAATTTTTAAATGGTAAACAAATAATAAGACAAAATGTTACATTGGAAACAAATTTTAGGGGTTGCGTTTTCCACCCCTTACAACCATGGGGTAAACCAAATAAATTTCTGGCTAAATGTCTTTTTGGTAGTACAAAACGTCAGGTTAATTTCAATATTGTAACTTTTTTAGTGCTTGTGAAAAAAATTGTTATACCAATTTGATGTAACCCCTTTAAGGGGCTGTATCTTAACAAGTGATGCTCCAATGAAATTTCTTTATATAAGAGATCCTATTTTTTTTTCGATGGGTAATCACCTCCTTAAATGTTTTACACTCATTTAGTTACACCCTGTATATTAGACAATGGAAGTCCGAACTAGTGAAATTCATCATGAAACATTGTCAATCACCTTCAAACAAATATCCTTTTATTTTTTTCTAAAATCGTCATATGATTCCTTGTTACCCAACAAATAGAAAAGTAGATTCTTATAAGTATGCCGTCTGCCTTCTTCTCTGATTGTCAGTGGTAAATGATTGTATAATTTGATGGCCATATACGTAACGTTGACCTCTTCATGTATTTCTTAGTCTATATTTTGAAAACATCAGGTTTGAGTTATTCCTAGAAAAGTTCTCGTGAATAAGTTTATGAATGATGAATTTTTATTTATTGTCATAAACGAAAAAAAAAACAAACAAATATAAATCCCATATGTAGTAGGTAATTTATTACTGTTGTAAATCATGCCCGAAAAAAAATAACGCTGGCCGCCACTGGTTAACCATAAACCAAACGTGACGTAGCTGAGAGAGCGCCAATGCACAATGTTTCCTGCCGCTCTAGAAGCAGCGACAATAATGCTACCGATTTCGATGGCATTCGATTACGATATTTAAACGCTGGTCGCAAGCATATCGACACAATCAAGTGGACGTTACAGTGCGGTACGGTACATTACTTTTGAAAATATCACTTACAGAGTGTGAAGTTCATGTTTAACATAGTCTTTATTCTAAGCAATCCAAATAAGTAGTACTTTCACCCCAAAACGTAACATGGCATCTAGATAGACCCCTAACATTTTCATACATGATGAAAAATATAACATTCACAACATATAACATTCAATATATGACTTTCCAAATTCATATGACAGTCAAGAGGTGAAACGAGATTGGAATCATCAGCATAACTGACAAGTTTGGTGCTGATATTTTCAAAAATTCCAGGAAAATTGTTTATACAAATAATAAACAACAAAGGACCTAGCACATTTCCTTGTGGAACACCTCTTTTATCTGTAGGTGAGATAAAATAAGTGATAATTTTTTCATGTTGAAAGATTTTATCGAAAAAAAAAAAGATGAAAATGATATAGATTTAGATAATGTAATAAAAATTAAAAAATAATTCGGAAAGTCCTAGGTAGCTGTCATCACATCACTCACCTCAGCGATTTACGGTATCGATCAGATAAAATAATAATAAAATCATAACTTGAGTAAATATGTGAGTAATACGATTTTATTATTTTTTTATCTGATCAATACCGTTGATTGTTGAGGAGAGTGATGTAATTAATGTTACCTAGAACATTCCGAAATATTTTTTAGGTTATGGAACATCATCTACATAATTGATATCTTTTTTTTCCAATAAAACTATTCAACATACATTTTTTTACTCAAGTATTTTATTTTCAACTTTTTTCTTTCTAATTTTGTTACTGAATCCTTCTCAATCTGTTGTAGCATATATCGCATTATTTCTTTTTCAGTAATGTCAAATGTCAAATTTGGATTCTCACAGTAATTGAATATATTTCGGAAAAATATTTATTAGTTGTATTAAGTGTGCTACTGAAAAACACCAAATGTCTTTCTAAATATATTTTGTGAAGGGGAGTTTGTGACAATGCTATATATAAATATGGAATTAATCTTGATTTATATTGACCTCTCAGTAAAGATTTTGGAGAAAATTAACTCTATCGACATCCATAAAACCGCACACTAATGCAAAACCATTATTTTTCATTACCACATTGTCGTAATTGAGGATATCTTCCTTCTCTCCACGTTGGTCGGAATCCTATTTTCATCAATAAAAATATTGAAATTGACTCATTGAAAATGTATAATATTTGAGTTTTATTGAGTTCCGCACCATTTTCTATCACTACATTTCCTCAGCAATAAATTTCACTCGGTTACTGTCACATTAGGCTAAAATTCATTTTTGACATCTGATAAAATATAAAAAATTCTTAGTGTAGTCACACATGTGTATTAATAGAAAATATCTGAATTTGAAAGGAGAAATATCCAATAAAATCAAATTCAGGTTAGGTTATCTCTCGCGATACTAATGTTTGTAGAACTTTTATTGATTATGACAAAGCCTACTCGAAAAAGTAGGTTTTGTCATTCGAATAAAACAATGCAATATATTTTAAAGTCATATCATTAGTTCCATAAGTCACAATGTATATTATTTATTCTGAACGGGGAGTAAGAAACTAAAATAGGTAAAGTATTTGATTTGAAAGGAATCCCTTTGGTGAAATATTACATCAGTTCTCAGCACTGAGTAGGCAAGACACATCTTCCATTCTTTTCACGATATCCCTGTTCGCAGTAACAACCTGGTAGCTGAATGCAAATAGCGGGACAAATATCCGGAGCATTTGTACCACATGGTACTGAATGGCAGGGCTTGCATTCAAAATGACGCATGTTTGGACCGCATCCTGAAACAATAAATCAAAAGGATACTTCTTTGATAATATACTTTATCTGAACTGCAATCAAACTAATGTTTTAAGAAAAGGAGTTTTTTTTTTTAATTCAGTTTCTCAGTGGAAGCATCACCAGTGGAAACTCCAGAAGTTGATAGAAGCAGATTTTTCAAGAAAATCACACTATTCAAAATGAAATTACGGAAGTTTGAAGGTGATTGATAATATTTCTTATTGAATTTCATTTGTTCGGACTTACATTGTCTGATTCTATATACATGACTTTCTTTAATGCCCCCCCCTTTTATTTTTTGAACGTGTTAATTCAAATAATTGAAATTTGGGATAATGAAATTAATACATGAATACTTTATTTTGAATTGAAATTGACAGATGGAACTTTCAAGATGGCAACTGGGCACCATCTGGGAAAAAATCAAATGGAAAGGGGGGTCTTGTGACACATCATTTTGAAGCTCTGGACGAATACTTCACAACCCTAGAACATGAAGTCAATATCTTCACCTACTA